CTCTGGGTAACGCGCTGGGAGGGGCCGGGAGCGGGGAGCGAGGCCCGGGGCGGGTTCCTGGCTCGGACCCGGGGGATCGGGTTCCGGGGATATTCCATCCTCCATCCTCCATCCTCCATCCTCCATCCTCCAGCAGCTTTTCGGAGGCCCAGGGGCCTGAGGACATGCCTCCCGCCGCTCTGGGCCTGAGGGAGGCTGGCGACGGAGGAGGTCATTGCTGTCACATTTGGGGGGGGCGGGGAGGGGCCCGGGAGGTACCGGGCCTCCAGAGCCCGGACCCTGTCGCTCCCTCTCCTTTCCTGTGGAGCTCCCTGCCCCTCGGGGAAGGGGTGCGGGGTGCTGGGAGGGGGGGGAGGAGAGGGCCGGAAGTGGGGCCTCTGGGTGCCTGGTGCCGCCTGGGGGGTGTTTGTTTCTCTTCGGGGTAGTTTTTCCGGAGACTCGGGCCTGGATCCTGGGCGGCGCTTAGGTAGACCTGTTGCTGGAGGCCCGGCTGCTGGGCTGCATTCCTGAAAGGGCCCCGCTGGCGCCCACGGCAGCTTCCAGGGTGAGGGCCGGGGAGCCTGTGCCCTTTCCACGGGAGAATTCACACAGCTGCGTGCCACACTGACGGGGTGCGACTGCGTCCCATACATCCCCAGGAGCCTGTCATCCGGCCCAGAGCCCAGCTCCTGCCGCCCCAGGCACCGGCCTGCTCCTGGTCACTGGGGTGGTTAGGTTGTTTTCAGGAGCGCGAGTTCTTTAGTCACTTCTTTTCCCTAAGATCAAGCATCTTTAAAAATAAAACTTATTGATTGACTTTTTAAAATATATTTTTTTATTGATTTCAGAGAGGAAGGGAGAGGGATAGAGAGAGAGAAACATCAATGATGAGAGAGAATCATTGATCGGCTGCCTCGTACACGCCCCCTACTGAGGATCCAGCCTGCAACCCAGGCATGTGCCCTTGGCTGGAATCGAACCTGGGACCCTTCAGTCCCTAGGCTGACGCTCTATCCACTGAGCCAAACCGGCCAGGGCTTATTGATTGATTTTAGAGAGAGGAGGGAGAGAGAAACATTGGTTTGTTGTTCCACTTATTTGTGCATTCATTGGTCGATGCTTGCATGTGCCCTGACCGGGACCTCCTGGTTCATAGGCCGCTCAGCCACTGAACCGTGCGGGAGGGGTGACTTCTTTCTTTCTTTGATATGTATATTTATGGATTTCAGAGAGGATGGGAGAGGGGGAGAGAGAATCATGGATCGGCTGCCTCCTGCACGCCCCACAGTGGGGATCGAGCCTGCAACCCGGGCCTGTGCCCTGCGGTGGGAATCGATAACCGTGACCTCCTGGTTCATAGGTCGACGCTCAGTCACGAAGCCACGCCTGCCCGGTGACTGCTTTCTATACTTGAGCATGACTGTTCTCTGGGCTGCAGTAATGACGAGCCCTTTTGAATACAGCTTTCCAGAGAGAGAATTTTAGAAGGAACGAACCTATGGTCACCCCCCTGCAGACACTGCGTGTACTCAGTTGCGTTCTTGTCCTCTTCCAGGGCTTGTGAAACTGACCACAACCAGAGCATGGATATGGGAAACCAACACCCCAACATCAGCCGGCTGCAGGAGATCCAGAAGGAGGTGAAGAGCATCGAGCCCCAGGTGGTCGGCTTCAGCGGGCTGTCGGACGACAAGAACTACAAGAAGCTGGAGCGGATGCTGATGAAACAGCTTTTCGAGATCGACTCCGTGGACACGGAAGGGAGGGGCGACGTTCAGCAGGCGCGGAAGCGGGCCGCCCAGGAGACGGAGCGCCTGCTCAAGGAGCTGGAGCAGAACGCCAACCACCCGCACCGCCTGGAGATCCAGAACATCTTCCAGGAGGCCCAGGCCCTGGTGCGGGACCAGATCGTGCCCTTCTACAGCGGCGGCAGCTGCGTGGCCGAGGAGTTCGAAGAAGGCATTCAGGACATCATCCTGAGGCTGACGCACGTCAAGACCGGCGGGAAGGTGTCCCTGCGGAAGGCGCGCTACCACACCCTCACCAAGATCTGCGCGGTGCAGGAGATCATCGAGGACTGCGTGAAGCGGCAGCCGTCCCTGCCGCTCTCCGAGGACACGCACCCCTCCGTGGCCAAAATCAACTGCGTGATGTGCGAGGTGAACAAGGCCAGGGGCACTCTGATCGCCCTGCTGATGGGCGTGGCCAACAACGAGACGTGCAAGCACCTGTCGTGCGTGCTCTCGGGGATGATCGCGGATCTGGACGCGCTGGACGTGTGTGGGCGAACCGAGATCCGGAATTACCGCCGGGAGGTGGTGGAGGACATCAACAAATTACTGAAGTATTTGGATTTGGAGGAGGAAGCAGATACCACCTATGCGTTTGACCTGGGACAGAATCATTCCATCCTGAAAATAGAAAAGGCCCTCAAGCGAATGAGAGAGATTAAAAACGAGCTCCTGCAGGCGCAGAACCCTCCCGAGCTGTACCTGAGCTCCAAGACGGAGCTGCAGGCCCTGATCGGGCAGCTGGACGAGGTGAGCCTGGAGAAGAACCCCTGCATCCGCGAGGCCCGGCGGAGGGCGGTGATCGCGGTGCAGACCCTCATCACGCACATCGACCTGAAGGAGGCGCTGGAGAAGAGGAAGGCCTTCGTGTGCGAGGAGCACCCGTCCCACCGGGCCGTCTGGGCCATCCTGGGCCACCTGTCGGAGATCCTGGGAGAAGTCCTGTTGTTCGACGGGAACCGGACTGACAAGAACTACATCCGGCTGGAGGAGCTGCTCACCAAGCAGCTGCTGGCCCTGGACGCGGTGGACCCGCAGGGCGAGGAGCAGTGCAAGGCGGCCCGGAAGCAGGCCGTGAAGCTGGCCCAGAACATCCTCAGCTTCCTGGACCTGAAGTCGGACGAGTGGGAGTACTGAGGCCGGGCGCACGCCCCGTTCAGCACTTACCCAGACGTGTATGTATTTACGGAGGCTTTCGGTGCGCTGAGCCTAAATGTGATTTGTATGTGCATATTGCAATCTCAGTATTTATGATTTCAGCAAATTATATTCCGTAACTGCTGCTTTTGATGTCGCAAAAGAAATGTCATTACAGCTCACTGACTTTTCCCTGGGATCTGATCCGTACGTTGTGGTGTTATTTTCTTAATCAGAAAATGGCATTGGGGCAGCTTTTGTAATTTTTAACTTTGTAATTTTTAGCTGCAAAAGCATGAAAATGCAGATGTTTCAGAACCTAGAACTAGGCCTTGCCTTGCCTGAGACTAGGACAGCTGTGAGGAAGGGAAGCTTTAGGTTGATTAGAGGGAAGGGCTGAGCACAGAAGTAGTGAGTGTGTTTTCTGCTAATAAAGCAGGACTGTTCCATTCAGGAAGCCTGACTGGTCCCGCCCAGCGTCATGGGGGGGTTGTTTGTACTTTCTGTGGATGGTCTATTCTTTCATCAACGTTCGTTTGGAAAACAGGCGTTTCCCAGGCCGTCTGCATGCAGAGGGGGGTCTGACCTTTGTGTGTGATGTAAGAAAATTATGAACATTCGTAGCAAAGAAACCTTTGAAAAAGGGATGACACCAGCTAATACTTCCGAGTGGTTTTGTTTGTAAAGTCTGCACTGACAGTTTTCCTTAGTGATTTGTAAGGATGGGAACATTTCAATGGACCTTTAAAAAGAGAAAAGGGAAACGAAACGCCCAGACCTGTGCAGGGTGAGGACTGGAGGCTAGTGCACGTCAGGTCTCTGGACCTACGTGACGGTGTCTGGACGCAGCGTGCGGCGGGCTGCTCGCAGGCCCAGGGCTGCCTCACAGAGGCGGGCAGGCACTCGCAGCCGCTGAGGAAGGTCG